ATATCTTCGAGCTAAATGTAAAAAAATATTTCTTGCTCTACTTTTTGATTAATATTCCTTGAAAGAAAAATGTGTTTCCATATATATAGCCTAAAGAGAGACGCCAGCATCCAGACGTCCCAATCTGAAGGAGGCTTTGTGTTTTAGTAAAGGTTAATTAAGAATCATCAGATTTTCCCCCTTAAAATATAAAAGTAAAACAATATAATTAGCTATTTTGTTCCTTTTCCCCGGAGGGCGGATTTAAATGTTCTACCTAAATGAAACTATTTATTTAAATCTGTCCAGATTTCCTTTGAAGTTTCATATACCTTTCTTCTGCTTTATCAGCTTATAACTACAATAATTTAATAAGTTTTTCCTGGGGTGAAATTGGACGCCCTTTATCGATCTTCCACTGAGGGGGCATTCAATTACTTCATCTGAAGTGGTATTTCTGGGTCTCTCAATTACAAGTTTGTTATAAATGGCTTGCTAATGATGCCTGGGGTGCACAGGTTAACAGGGGCACCCAAGCAGAGGTGAGTAATTGGAGGCTTTCTATTTGGGGAGTAGCTATCTGATCTCACAGTGGCGCCGGGCTCCTGCACCAGGGGCCTGCACCCATAGGGCACAGAATGGAGCCCAGCTGGGCAGCCATCGAGCTGAAATGCACACCTGAGGATGGGGGCTGATGTGGGCATGGGAATGCCGAGTGCCCTGTGTACTGTGGGTCCGCTGGCACCAACGTGGACATTCTAGACAGGTGGCGCGCAGGGGTACGCACTGCGTACTTTTGAAGGAAGAACACCTTGAGTGCCAGGCTTCTGAACAATGGCCCGTGGGATAATCCATGGCATGTGGAAGAGGCCAGTTACGGATCATGATTGCAATCTGCTTTCCTTCCTGCATAGTCGTGGTAATTTGATGATTTAATTTTTCTTTACTGAGTTATTAAATGGCTATACGTATTGTACAGATCGCTTTGAAAGAACATGCAGTGTGCCTCCCTTCCACATTCTGGCCCTCAGGGCAGCTGAGCTCTGGCCCCTGCCTCCTCACCCATCGGGTCCCTGTGCCCCACCAGCCCACGCCCCTAAAGGTCTGCCCTCCAGGAGTACCCAGGGGCCTGGACTCCCCGGCTTCTCTCCATAGGCTCCGCCTCCTCTGGTCTCCCTGGGACTGGCTCCTTCTTGTCATTCAGGCTTTAGCTCGGGTGTCCCCCCTGATGTTAGTTCTCTGGTCACCCTGTGTTTGGATTCCTTCCCCTCCAGTGGCAATTCTTGCCTGGGTTGACTATGCCCTCCAAGGGACATGTGACCACGTCTGAAGACATTTCTGGTTGTCACATCTAAGGGGAGGGGTGCTCCTGGCATCTATAAGTAGAGGTCAGGGATGCTGCCCAATGTCCTGCAGTGCGGGGGACAGTGCCCTGGGCATGGAATCGGCTAGCCCAGGCAGGGTGCAGTGAGAACCCGGTCTGTGGACTTCCTGGGTTCCGCCTGTCTGTCCTCACAGCCTGTATCGTGCCCGAGGCTACCTCACACGCACCTTCTTTATACGTGTCCCAGGTGGGACAGAGCTCAGCCAGGGAAAAGCGCCCCTCTCGGCCACCTCTGCACCAGCTCACTCACGGGAGGGCTTGTCTGGAAGCCTGAACTCAGGGCTCTCGCTCGCTCCCACGGGCACCAGCCAGGTACTGGCCTGGCTGTGAGATGGGAGTTCACCCACCTGCACGGAGGCATATTTTATGTGCTACACAGTGGCTGTGTGTTCTGGTAAAATCTAAGATTTTTTTTTTTTATCCTCAAAGAGGACACCCAGGGGTGTTTCCAACACCATCAAATTATGTACCTCCTGACTGCAGCTGGAGGTCACGACTTCCTGGAGTTCATGGGCTCAAGTGCGCCCCACTTTGGGCACCAGTCAGGAGTACTGGGTCCCCAGGGCACATGTTTATGTCCAAATGGCCAGAAAGGTGAGGGATTCCCACAGCAGCCTGTGTGGATTTGTAACTCCCCTGAGTGACTGAGGGTCCTCAGGAAAGGGCTCCTCCTGCCATGCACAGTGTATCACAGAGGTGGCAGCTCAGGAGCTGACAGTGGGACAGATACCAGGGCGTGCCCAGGAGGACTGTCTCACAACACAGGAGGTGGTTCCTTGCTGTCCCTCTGCATGTCCATGACCCCGATCAACCCCGTGGCTCCCTGTCCTTTAGGGGCTTCTGTGGAGGTCCCATTATCGTAGCATTAGTTGACGATCACCTCACTGGCTGCTGCTATGACCTCAATCCCCAGGTTCCCACCAGGAACCTGGGGATCTGGGCTGAAAGTTCCAAGCTTCTAACCAAGGCTTGTCTTTCTGGTGACCAGTCCCTCTCCTGAAGACACCTAGATGTTCACTGAGGGTCACCTCATTAGCATAAGTTCATGTGTTGTTGGAAGAGGCTGGTGAGTGGCAAACCATGCTTCCAGCTTCCTGGACGCTCAGCACTCCAAGGATTCAGAAACTCTGGCTGGGAGGAGGCCAAGTGTGTATTTCTATGTATACACACCCGCATCCTACAGTGGCTTCAGGCCCCACCCCTGAGCATGCCTGAAGAAGGACCTTTTCCAGGAGGGAGTGAAGGGATGAATGAATGAATGAATGACAGGAGCAGAGAGTACATTGTATCTGAGTGTTTTCCCAGGGCTTCCACACACCTCCAGTTGTGGCCGTTCTCTGTGGTCAGAGGCCAGCCTTGCAGGAGCTCCGCTGGCTGCAAGGTGCAGCTGCCCAGTAGACAGCAGGCCTCGTCCCTCATCTGCCTGCCTGTCCCTCCCCTGACTTCCCAAGTTTATTTATGTTGCTTGGAATAAGATACTTTTGCTCTTGGTTAGAATGTTTTGCCCATTCTTCGGGGTCCAGATTATGTACATTCCTGTTCTGAGGCTTCAAAGCCCATGTTTGTTTGTTTGTTTGTTTGTTTTAAAAAAGAATCTAATTAGGCCTTCTGCAGAGAGAGGCTGCAGGGTGCAGACTCCCTCCCGCAGAGCTCCTGGTTGAGTCTCATTTTGACCCCACTTGTGGCCTGGACTTCGGCATGTGAGAAAATGTTTTCTTGGCTTTAGTGATGGACTTTCCGAGTAGGGGATCTTGCCCTTTTGTTTCTTTGGTTTGGAAGAATTGTTTGTACCAAGTAATGGGTCAGGGGTGATTAAACCAGCTCAAGCAGAGGTCTGGGCTTGAGGCTCCCCACATGCCCTCCAGCTGCCCTGGGGGACACAAGAGGACAGAGCCCGGGCCTTCTGGCCTGGCTCTGGGAGCAGCTCCTCCCACCTTCCCTCTGTGCAACCTCACGACCCACGCGCCTGCCCCAGCCTCTCAGCCCGTGCTCACCAGCTCTTCTCATGCTGGTTCCTTGAGACTTTATGAAAATTCCTTGGTTAATTCTGTTTTGCAAATTTTGTGTATTCTCTTCCTTGTGACACAGACATTATTAGCATAGTAAAGCCCCGCTTTACGAATCCCATGTCATTTTGTCCATTTCACCTTTTCTCCGAATAATGGGAGCGTGAATACTTACTGATGGCACGCAGAACACAGGCTTTTCGGTGCAAGGGAAGGTTTCTTCTGGAAAGTTCTGATTGGTCCGACCTCTAGCCAGGACAAGGAGACTCTAATGAAGGGAGGATTGATGCCGCCTCTGGGGACAGGATTGTTTGAGGGGTGTGTGAGGAGAGGATTGTCAATCACTAAGGAAAGATCATGTGGCAGAGGGTCTTCCTTCTGGGATTGCATTTCAAATATCCTTGGTGTTCATCACAATTTTAAATCATAATAGTTATCATCATCATTGATGATATGGTTATCAATGTTACATACCTTTTATGGGATGCTAAATATGTGTTAGACTTTATGCAAACATATAATAGCTAATTCAGTACTTGTTACAAACTTATAAGAGAGTGGCCAAGACTCCGAGAGGTGGGATGTCTCGCTCAAGGCCACGCAGCCAGTAAGGGGATCTACCATGGTGAGAAACCAAGTAGGCCTCTTTGTTTTGCTCGCTCGGTGCTCCTTTTAAGACATCTACAAAGAAATGTCTTTGGGCAACAATACATTTTACAACCACAGGACTGTGTTAATAGATCTTTAAGAATCATGTCTTCCCTAGGATGACGGAAGTGGAAAATCATTTCAGGACCTGAAGTGTTTCGCTGCTCAGGGGAACACTGTACGTTGGACTTAATTGCTTAATAACTTAAAGCCAAATGGTTTTTTATATGATACACTCCGCTGAAGGAGAGAATCATTTCATTGTTTTAAATTTTCATTAACTTTTGCTTCTGAAGCTGATAGTAAAGGTTAGCTCCAGCGAAAGACCGTGGATACTGTTGGGAGGGAAAGGCTCTATTTCTCTGTGTTCCTATCCTAGCGGTTCTCCTGATTGTTCTTCAGCTTTTTCCACTGACTTGGAGGCACTAATATCTGAATTTGTCCCTCCAGTTCATAGTCCAGAGCCCTGGGGTGGAGACGCCTTAACTTAGTCGAAGTAGGAAGGCGGAGACACTGGAGGGTGGGGGACAGCCCAGAACCAGGCGTCCCACGTGCTGCTGCTGGTGTTGGTGGCTGGGCCACAGTTGTTGGCAGAGATTGAATTCCAAAGCCAAGTGCGGGGACTCGAAACCTCTCCCTCTCTCCTGTATGATTCTGCGACTTGGTTGAGACCAAGCAGGCTTGGCTGGAATTGAGAAGAGGAAGAGAGAAACGAACAGCTATTCCTGGCTGGAAGAGCGTCCCGGGCTCTTGCTCTTACCATGTAACCCAGTCAGTCTTCTTTCTTTATGTTTAGGTAATTGGACATTTTTAAGAGCTTTCTCCCCACGAAGAGGAAACATCCCAAAGGAACACAGGATGTGACCGTGGAAACCCTCATGGGCAACTCTGCGGATGGCGCGCCAGTCCGTGGCTGCAGGAGAAGATCATGAGCGCTCCTGATGTGCGGCGTGACCCCACGCTCCCCAGCGATACTGCTCGTGGTGTGATGGGGAAAACCTGAGGGACAGGCAGAAGCGCTCCCCGCCTTCCTGATGCCGTGGCTCCTGTAGAACATGACCATCGGGGTCACTTCCCCTTGCTGTCTTGCAGAGTCAAGCCAAAGCATGTGCTTCCCCCTCCTCCCCCGTTGGTTCCTGCCGTGTCTCCGTCTGTCTCTGCTGCCTTCCCACCATCTGATGTAATCGCAGGACATCCGTAAGGCTTCCCGTACTCCCTGGGGCTCACCCATGGCTGGCTAAGCCTCAGTCCAAGGGCACTACCATGAGGCCCTGCATCAACCGCTGCCTACAGCTGTTAGCCGACGACGCACACAAACAGCAGGTCAGCTGCCGAGGGGGCCCCCACCAGAGTCACCAGGCGTGCCCCGCATGCAAAGGAGAAAACAAGATCCTGCTTCGCGTGGACAGTAAGCAGATGAACTTGCTGGCTGTTCTCGAAGTGAGGACTGAAGGGAACGAGGCCTGGGGCGGGTTTCTGCGCTTTAAGAAGGGGAAGCGATGCAGCCTGGTGTTTGGACTGGTCATAATGACCTTGGTGATGGCTTCCTACATCCTTTCTGGGGCTCACCAGGAGCTTCTCATCTCGTCTCCTTTCCACTATGGGGGCTTCCCCAGCAACCCCAGCTTGCTGGACGGTGAAAACCCAGGCGACCTGAAGGAGCATCACCACCAGCCCCCTGTAAATAACGTGTCCTACGTCAAGGACTATCCCAGCATCCAGCTGGTCATCAGCAGCATCACCGCCAGGATCGAGTTCACCACCAGGCAGCTCCCCGACCTGCAAGACCTCAGGAGGCAGGAGCTGCATGTGAGTAGCCTCTTGCTGACCTCCACTGGTGGACTTTAAAAGAGGGTTGCTTCCTCTTCCAGCCCCATCTTGGAGAACGTAGAAGGAAAATGTCTGAACATTTCTTGAGGATAGTGGGGATGAGTTGACAGGCTGCCGATCAGGGCGCACTGTCTGCTCACGTCTGGAACATCAGGAAGGGGGTTTGAAGTCCTGAACAGCTCAGCTAGAAATACTTAAGGACCGCCCCCCTCATGATTGTGTTCTAGGACTTCTTGCTTGAAACCGAGCCGGGGTGGCCACAGTTGGTTTTGTAGGTGGCCATCATTTGGAATTTTAAAGTTAGGCTCAGTTTCACTTTCAATAATTCTATGCTTATCGATGTTTTGATGCTATTTAAATGTACGACCAACAAGAAAGATCCCAACTATTTAATTTAGATTGCTATGTGTGTGGGAGAGATACATCATGATAGGATGGATTTTAACTAAATCTTTATCTTCATTTAATCTTCTTTTCTCTCCTTTTTTTTTTTTTTGGTTTTTATTTTGGGAAAAAGAAAACATAGTCATTGGCTGCCTACCAAGTTTAGCTGTTAATCGCTGTCAAACACAGTTCAGATTGGAGCACACACGGGGATTGGGGCGTGATGGCATGGTGGTGGCAATCTTTCTGCTAACTCTTCCTCCCTTGGGGCCGCTCTCCCTTTTCTCCTTCTCATTGCAGATGTTCTCAGTCATCCCCTCTAAGTTCCTGCCCAACAGCAAGAGCCCCTGCTGGTACGAGGAGTTCTCGGGGAGGAACACCACTGACCCCTACCTGACCAACTCCTACGTGCTCTACTCCAAGCGCTTCCGCTCCACTTTCGATGCGCTGCGCAAGGCTTTCTGGGGCCACCTGTCGCATGCGCACGGCAAGCACTTCCGCCTGCGCTGCCTGCCGCACTTCTACATCATCGGGCAGCCCAAGTGCGGGACCACTGACCTCTACGACCGCCTGCGGCTGCACCCGGAGGTGAAGTTCTCGGCCATCAAGGAGCCGCACTGGTGGACCCGGAAGCGCTTTGGTGCGTTTGGTGGCTCCTTGCAGCCACCCTCTGGTTCATTCCTTCCCTGAAGTGGGCAGGGCGGGGCGTTGAGGAGGTGGGCCATTTATTAGACAGTTGCCTCAGTCAGTTTAGTGTTACTGTAGCAAAATACCAGAGGCTGAGTCGCTTACAAGGAAAGAGATTTATTTGGCTCAGGATTTGGGGGTTGAAGGGTCCACACAGCATGGCGCTGGTCTGCTGAGGAGAGCCCCTTGGCTGCAGATGACATAGCCTGGAAATAGAAGGGAACTGGCCATGTGCCGCAGAGGCCAAGCGATGGGATGGCCTGGCTTCCTGAAGAACACTCTCTCATGAGAGACCCATGCTAATCCCTTCCAGGAAGGGCCTCCCTGACCTGTGCACCTCTGAAGGGCCCCGTCACCCAACATCACCACACCAAGGGCTGGAACCCGTCCCCAGCCACGTGCCAGCTGAGGGTAGGGCAAGGGAACAGTGCAGATCGGGTAGCTCTTCCCAACCTGAAGAGTCCTGGCAGGTGACCCCTGCACTGAGCAGGGAGGGCCTGGGCCCGGGCCAGGGACTAGCAGACCTCTGGGCAGTGGTAGCCAGCACCTGCTCTGGGCTGCTTCCTGGAGCCCCCACACGTGGAGGAGACGCAGCTGCCCTGGGCTCAGCTCCTCTGGCCTGCCCTGACTGCCACACAAGTATCAAGTGCCACTGAGACAACTGAGACCCTGCTTTCTACCTGCTTTGCTTCAGGGCTGACTGTGGACCCAGCCCCAAGCACCCTGTGGCCCTGCGGTCACTCTTTCCTCTTGGTGACCTTTCCCTTCTGCCAGGAGACGTTTGGTCACTGGAGCTAAGGGGCAATACCCGGCCCATTGTCTGCCAGAGTCTGGGAGGCCCCAGGGCGTGCTCTGCATGAGGACCAGGCTGCCTAGAGAGAACCTCAAGAGTCTTCCTTAGACCAGCTTCTGAGTGCTTCCTGACCCATGTTTGGTCTCACCCTTTGGCTGTCAGCCTGGGGAGGGTGAAGGTGTGTTTCTTTTGTGGTTTCACAGTGCTGCGTGGCAGCCAAGGCTTCACCATGCTGAGCCCACGCCCCGCTGTTGGGTACACTCCCCTCTGGGCCACTGTTCCCCTTAATGCAAACCAGCTTGCCACTGGCAGGAGAGGCAAGGACAGGGTGTGCCTGGGACGCTGGTGCTGCTCGGTCACCTTGAAGCTCATGTTGTTTTGACCCGTCTCTTTCCACTTATGCTAACCCGGGCGGCTGTGGTGTCTGGGGGTGTGTTTTAAATGTTCACAAGTGAAATTTCCCATTTTTAAAGCAAGGGCCAAGTTGGCTGATCCCAGAACCTGTGTCCACCCAGGGGAAGATCAATGGCTCTTGACATTTGGACCGATGGCACACTACTGGAACACGTAGGTGACCAAAAGGAAGAGGACAGGGTGTCACCTCCTGACTGGCTACTCTGTGTGTGTCCTGGGTGTTGGAGCTGCCAGGACACATTAGGATCTCAGCTGGTACACACATCAGCCAGTCCCGAACTCTCGCCCACCACTTAGACACATTGTAGCTCTTCAGTAGGTCCCCATCCTTTGGTGCCTTCCACCCCATGAAGGATGCGTGCCTTGGAACCGGGCAGCCAGTTGGCTGAGCCCCCCTCCACCCAGGTCCCCCTCTGATGCATACCTGGACTGAGCCTTTTGCTGCTGCAGTTGGGCCCTGGGGGCCTTTACCCCGTCTAAGGTCATTCTCCAGGAAGCCACCATCCTAGCAGTGACAGTTTGTCCTGAGTAACTTTGGCTTCTTGGCTCCTGTAGGAATTGTCCGCCTTCGAGATGGGCTGCGAGACCGCTACCCTGTGGAAGATTACCTGGACCTCTTTGATTTGGCCGCGCACCAGATCCATCAGGGCCTGCAGGCCGGCTCAGCAAGGGAGCCGAGCGAGATGAACAAAATCATTATTGGTACGGTGTCTGCGTGGCCCCCAGGGCTGGGCAGGGTTGGGGGGACTTCTCTGAGGTCCTGGCTCAGCTCTGCCTCACCTGCAGAGCCCTTGCCAATGGCTGCAGGTGACCATTGAGCCTCCAACTCCCCACTGGCTATCACTCTTATGCCTGTGTAAAATGTTCACCTCATTTGAAACATCACTACAAAGCAGAAAAGCCTAGTCCACTTTGTAACTCCAAGCAGACTCAATATGGCTGAAATGACATTTTTTTAAGTTTCCATGTCTGTTTTTACTTAAATTAAGTAGGTGTATGTGACATGGATTCTTGTAGAATCTACTGATTTAAGTTTGGGGGATCATAAATGCAACCATTTAGCCAGGCAGAATCATGCATGCCTGTAATCCCAGCAGCTTGGGAGGCTGAGGCAGGATGATGACAAGTTCAAAGCCAGCCTCAGCAATGATGAGGTGCTAAGCAACTCGGTGAGACCCTGTCTCTAAATAAAATACAAAATAAGGCTGGGGATGTGGCTCAGTGGTTGAGTGTTCCTGAGGTCAATCCCTGGAACCCCCTCCCCCCCCAAAATAAAATGTAACCAATTAGTCATTGATTTAATACCTGGGCTTTGATAACTGGGTCACTGGGGCTGCATGAGGCTGGAGGATGCATTCCCTGACATGGACAGAACTCTGTGTAGCATCTTTGGACTAATTGCTGATTAAAAGACCCTGCTTGATCTTTTACAGTTGGGCCCTTTGCATTCAAAATGAGGTTGTTTGATTAATTCTTTCTTTTCTTTTTTTTTTTTAAATGCAAGTGTGTCTTATTAAAAACCAATATGTTTATGCTAAGAATTATTGCATATATTTAGGTGTATACATGATATTTTGATATGATCACCATAGCCAGCAAATTAGCATGTTTGTCTCCTTGTATAGTTGCCTGTATGTTTTTTATTGTAAGAGCACCTAAATTTTTTTTTGGCAAATTTCCAGTATCCCAAACAAGTCATTAACTCTGGTCATCAGGTCGCATTCTATCACTGGACTTATTTTTCCAACATATCTAACTGGATGAGGCAGACTGATGTGTTCTGAAAGATGGACATTTAATCTTACATATTGCTCAAGCTGGTTACTTGAGGCAGTGATCTAATTTTTTGTCTTCCTAGATCTATTATATTTTGATTCCCCAGGTTAAATGAGCCTCTGAATGAGCAGGATGAATTCAGATCAGCCGCTCAATGAGAACTCCTCCCTGCATGCCCATGTCCAGAGAGCAGGCATATGTGCCCCAAACCTGAAGGATCGATTTTTTTTCAAACTCAGAAATAAGTCACTGGAAGCCAGTGAGATTGTTACCCACCCCCACCTCCCCCCACACCACCTGCAGTATGAATTGGCTGTTACTTATTTATGAATGCAAAATTAGGGGCGAACACCCCAAACAGTAAGTCTAATTAATATTTTGCCATAATGCATATGACATGTGCTTCTGGGAGAAGTCTCAGGTTCTATGAAAGAGCTACAAACATTCACACAGAGGCAGGAAACAAAGACTTAGATAATGAATGAAAAAGGAAAGCCTTTGTTTGGTTTCCTAATTTTAGTTATTGCTAGATTTTAAAAAAAAGAAAGAAAGAAAGAAGAAGAAGAAGAAGAAATAAAAATACCACACTGATAGTTACTTCAAGCAGAGTTGGGTGGGTTTTGTGGCAGCCTGTGGCATGATAAGCAGGTGCAGAGGCAGAGGAAGAGTGGACATCTGGTCCTGCCTGTCACCACCCGTGACACCACTCTGTGCCACATGAAGAGTCAGGCCTCTGTCCTGGCCTCAGTACACACATCTATAAGATGGGATTGTTGGGGCCAGGCCAGTTCTAGGCTTTGCCCAACTCTGATGCAGGATTCAGTTCTGCCTTAGCCCTTCTCCCCTGTTAGGTCCTCAGCAGAGATGGACGGTCTCATCACCATGGCTACGGGTCAGAGGGGTTCTTTCCTCTGCAGTGAGAGGCACACAGGGCTCAGGACCCAGGTGGCTAGATTCCATGGGGTGGGGGCTTTGGCATGTTGGAAGGTCCCTGACTGTTTGTGGGGCATTGGCCCTAACTCTTCTTAGCACCCTCAAGTGATACTGATGGCTTCTTGAATTGTCTCCCTAGACTACGAGGGCCAAGAGGGGAGGTCCATGCCTGTGTCATTTCCCTCATCTGTCCCAGCACCTGACACGAAGCAGGGTGCATATTAGACATCAAATGATGGTTCCCAGGTGGGTGAGGGATGGATGATGGACAGATGGCAGACAGACAGAGGGACACAAGGGATACATGCCTCTGTGGCTCTGGACCAGTTCCCTTGGAGAGCTGACATAATTGGTGCCAGTCTAGATTCAGATGCTGCACTTGTCTTTTACGTTCTCTTTTTCATTGTGAGTAGATGCTCAGAGGCCTCCCGATGGACTGGTCTTTTCTGTATCCGAGGGTGTTGTGACTGAAAAACCAGAGAGGGAGGGGAAAGGCCAGAATAGAACCGAGACCGTGTGCCTTGACTCGGATTTCCCCGAGGAGGTGACTTGGAGGTTGTCAGAGAAGCCTCTGCACCGTTCAGGAAAGCGAGCGTAGAACGCGTTGATTGCCTTTCTTTCTCAATCTCCGAAGACAGGCCTAACAAACGCGAAAAAGCAAACCAGAAAGCAGGATTGGCTCAGTGTCGGCGGGAGCCTTGTCCAATGCCTGCTTTGGCCTTACCTCTGTTCTCTGGGGCGTTCAGCTCTTTCATCCTTTGGTCACGTGGACAGTGATAACCGGGCTGGGGCCTGTTCACCAGCCAGCACTGAGTGGGTGCCAGCTGTGTGCAGACAGGGGAGGGGGTGGGCAGGGACAGATGGTCTTTTAGAGACAGATGCGAGGCAGAGGCCCCTGAGGTTCTGGCGGTCTTCCTCTTGCTGGGTCCTAGAGTGTACCCGCGACCAGCCACCGGGGAGTCAGGAAGACAGACGAGCTGTGCCCCACTCCCTGTAGAGGGTTGGCGTCCCCAGACTATTCCTTGCTCCCTGATGTGTCTTAGAGGAAACTGTCTAGTACATTCTCAGGGGCTTTCCAAATGCCATAGAGCTGTGCGCTGCCAGCGGCCAAACACCGTGAAATGCAGGGTCTGGGTGCTGGTGATGGTTGTAATTCTGTTCACCCTGGAAGACGGGCTGGGGGCGGAGGACGCTCGGTGTTCTGTGGATGGCCTGAGTCTCCAGACAGAGGTCCTTGGGGTGGGGGCGGGAGCCATGTGGTGGGGGGAGCGCTGGCCCTCCTCTCCCTGGAGTCCATCTGCTGGCCATGGCTGACCGGCTCATCTGTCATGGCTATTGAAGAGGGAGGCAGGCGAGCCTGGCTGGGCCTCTGGCTCACTCGCAGTGGGAGCCGGCACCCCAGCCCCCAGCCGGCAGCTGCTCAGTTGCGGGGCTTTCTGTTTCCAGGGGAGGCCAGCGCCTCCACCATGTGGGATAACAATGCCTGGACCTTCTTCTACGACAACAGCACAGACGGGGAGCCGCCATTCCTGACCCAGGACTTCATTCACGCCTTTCAGCCACAGGCCAAGCTGATTGTCATGCTCAGGGACCCCGTGGAGAGGTGAGCATTTGGGGTGAAGTGAAAAGGCACTTGGGAAAGCAGCATTTCCCCAGCACAAACAAGACTTTGCTTCTTTAAAAAAATAAACAAGCTTAACTTGCAATGCCACTGCTATTTCTTATGTAAATGTTATTCCCAGGGCGAGCCTCCTGCCTTTAAACAAACCATAGATTGTTTTCTTAGCAGTTCTGACCCTGGTCTGTGGGCCTTGGCCCCTGACACTTTGACCTGGGGACATGGGGTGCTTTCTGCTGTCAGGGCTTGGGCACAGCTTGGGATCAGAGATATTGGTGTCCTCTGTGTGGTCTTACTTCTTCTGACTCCATTGATGCCCTTTTCCTTGATAGCCCTGACTGTGAGCTCTCCAGCTGTCCTTGACACCAAAAGGAAGAAAAATGATGAGCAGATCAGCTTTGCCTTTGCAGTCAGGGGTCGGCCACTGGGACGAGGCAGAGCCCACTCCATAGTGGACAGACTGTCCAGGGATGGCCTGGCTGCTGCTGGGAGGCCTGGACCTTAGTATTTAGTCCAGCGTTCCCTCTAAATGCTACCATATCAGGCACAAGGTGGGCCTCCGGCCTGCCCTCCTGGGATGGCAGTCTACATCAGGCTGTTCAGCGTTTTGGCTTTGAGAGTGAGTCCATCTTGGGGCCATCTACACTGTGGTCCCTTTTCTTCTCCTTACAGCCACATCGTCCAGGCCTATTATTTCCAAATGGGGAGAACCTGCCAGATGTTTGGAGATGGGGTCACAGCCCTTCATGTCTTGTTTTCCTTTGGGCCAACCACATTTTGTTATGGGTTGAGTCGGGCTCCCCAAAAGGCATTCTGAAGTCCTGAGCCCCAGTGTTTACAGCTGTGGCCTTATTTGGAAATAAGGTCTTTGCAGATGTACTTAAGATGAGGTCATACTGAACTGTGTTGGTGGGATGCTGTCCCTCCCTAAGGCACAGGGTGCATGCCAGGTAAGAGGTGGGAGTTTTGTAGCCTCAAGGCAGGGAATGCCAAGGATGGTTGGCAAGGCAGAGGCGGGGAGACAGGCGCGGCTGATTCTCCCTGGGAACCCCCAGGAGGAGCCAGCTGTGCCAACACCTGGCCCCGGACTCCAGCTCCCTGAATGATGGAGGAGATTCCTGTTGTTAGGTGCCCCTGTGTGTGGCGATCTGGCTCAGTGGCCCTTGGAAACATGCACACCTGAGTTCTCACATCCTGGCCCCGATTCTAACAGGAGTCATGTTTGTTGTGGAAAATACTAGAAAATACATTGAAGCACTTTAAAGAAAAAACTGTCATTAAAAACACCTATAGTCTCCCACCAAGATAACTACCATCTAAATCCTGGTGTGTTCTCGCCCCGACTTCTTTCCTGTGCAGGCCACGTGGGTGCTACTGGAGGGCTTGCTTGAAAGTCCACCCTGCTGAGTGGACGTCCACATCCTCTAGACCTCCACATCCCTCCTGCAGAGTCTCAGAACACTTCTGAGTGGGCTGTCAGGGGAGAGCTGGGCTGTCCATCCCTTGGCACTGGGCAGGAGGGAGCCTGCTGGGCCATGCCACGGGGCAGTTCACTCTCTGCACAACTCCCGGCCTTGGGAGCACGTCTGCCCCAGATCTGGGATGGCCATGTCCCACCTGCTAGTTCCCACGCTGCCGAGGCAGGAATTGGGCTCCTCTCCTCAGGGGGCAGGCTGGCCTCCCCAGCCCAGAACGGTTGACAAGCGGTGGTGCTGTCCTGCAGTCGGGCTGCCTGACCATGGGCCTTCAGAGGACAGGTCCTGAGGTGTTTTCACAGCTGCTCCTTCTCTGGCCCCCACCCGGCCCAGCCCCCTGCTCAAGTTCACAGGGTGGGACATTCTCAGGCCTGTGCCTCTGCTCACCACATGTCTTCCTGCCACTTCTCCTGGTTCCTTCTGGGGACGGTTAGACTGTGCCCAGCCTCGTGGCCCCAGAGTGAGAGCAGCAGGCGTGGGTAGCTCTCTGGATAGTCTGGCCTGGCCTGAGTGTGTGCCATCCCTGCTCTGGCCTGGGGAGATTGGTGCTCCTGGGCGGGGCTGGCCCTGCAGACAGGCATGGCCAGGGCTTGTCGTGGTCCGGCAGACTCAACAGGAGCTGGAGGGGACAGAGGGAGCAACCCTGAGTGGCGAGGGCCATGGAGCTGGCGGAGCCAAGGTCAGGCTGGGCTTTCAAGGATGGGCAAGGGCTTGTCATGGGAACAGGAAGGAAGGTGGGCCACGGGGAAGCCAGGGGGGAAGTGGGCACACGGTGAGCCTTGGGCAGGGAGGGCAGCCATGCTGTCCAGGCTCAGCAGAAGCAGGACCTGACCGACTTGCTCCCAGCCCCAGCCCCAAGTCGGCCTCTGGAGGAGGCTTGGGCCCACACTGTCCTTCCAGAAGCCTTAACCCCCCCCCCCCCACCACCACCACCACCAACAACAACAACAATCACCCTGTTCTAGGAACGGGAGGCAGAGGCTTCTCACTCCTTAGTCCTCAACTTGACAGAAATACTTGGTCAGTTTAAGCACTTATCGAACCCTGCCTCATGCTGGGCGCTGTGCTGGGTGCTGAGTCTTGCATGGTGGTCCTGTGCCTGCCCCCTGGGAGCATAAGAGTGGCATGGACTCTGGCATGGCCACTGTAACGGGGCCAAGGCCAGGAGGGCAGGCGATGGGGCAGCGGTGATGCCCAGCGGTCCTTGCTGGCCCCCGTGTGAGGAACCCCTGCTCTTTGCTGGCTGTTAACTGGAGGCTGCTCCCAGGCCCCTGCCACCAGGCTTTCCAATGTGGCCATTGGCTTCATGAGAGAAGCAAGGAACAAGGTGGCCAGTCAGAAGTGGTGGTCATTTGCAACCTGATCACGGTGTGACAGCCCATCCTGGTAGCTGTATCTCATTGGCCAGATGCAAGTCACTGTCCTGTCACACTTCCATGCCTCGGGGTCAGTCACCTCTCACCTGGCTCTCGGCATTCCCCACCCAATGCTCAGGACACTGGTGCAGGGCTTTGCAGCCCAGGGAAGAGTGACTTCCAGCCACAGCAGGACTGGACGTTCATGTGCATGTTTTCCCTGTGAGTTACTGACAGCAGCAGCTGTCTCTTGGATTCTTAAACATTTATAAAATGTGCAACAATAGGAATCTCTCCTTTGAGCCTGTGACCCAAGGGCTATCTGAAGTGGCTGGCCCTATCCCCATCCCAGCCAGAAAGGATGATAAATACCAGTGCTTAGGTCACTCTTGAAGAAACAAACGCTCAGAGCCGAGTTCCCATTAGTCTAACTGGCTCCTGGGCCATTGACCCACTTCAGTCATCCCGTGACCTTGTCCTTCTGCAAGTAGGAGATTCCTTGGGCTGCTGGACGGCAGTTGGATCTGTCCAGATTGTTCTTTTCCTTCTGCAAATCAGTTTGGTGGGGGAGGAGATTATGTCTAGTTTTAGATTCACATTTAGCCTTTATTTCTGTCATTGATCAAAGATAAGGGAGTTTGAAATTGTTGGACTTGGGAGCCAGGCTGAATCACATTTAAGTTTCTGGAGAAGAATATAAAGGGTAAGGCCTTCCCCCACCCCACCCCAGGAAAATAGAGGAATGATGGGAGGAAGTGGGTAGGATGGTTCATGTGGCAGAGGCCGGCCAAGAATTCTTGTTCCAAGCTTCTCTCCATAAGAGATTGCTGCAATTTAGAACTAAAAAAAATGCATTCCTATGCTAAATTGGCTCACTTAATTAAAAAGAAGCCACCAATTACAAGCAGATTTTCTTCATTTAATTCTTCTCTTAAATGGTAAAGACGGCTCTTTTCAAATGCACTCTCCTAGCCTCCTGCTTCTTTATTTGTGAGCTGGTGGTAGATTTTGCTTAACTGGGGGGAGGAGTACAGCCCATGCAATGTGAAAAAATGGCTGGGAGATGCTGCCTCCCCACCCCGCCCCTGAACTCCGTGCATTCCTCTCCATTCCAGAGACCTTTGCATTCTAGAGACCCCCACCTACTAGGGGGGTTTTGGTGTCTACATTTTGCTTCTACATGTAGTCTCAGCACAGTGCCCAGCAAGGGCCACCACAGGAATGACTGGTCTTTGCGTTCCGTGGTGATGGGTCCACCAGGAAGGAGAACTCAGCTCCATTAGGAAGTAGAACTTGATTTCCACCCAGTCCCTCGAGCCTGGGAACCGGGTAGCTGTTTTTCTTGGTCTGCTTACAAACACTGATGTTTAGACAGCTCCCTGGACTGGTTAAATGATTAATCGACGTATGAGAAGACTCTAGGAGGGGAAGGCGGCGTTTAATGAAGTGCATCCCTTTATAGGCCACTGTTCTTGGGGACATGGTAATGACGGGGCTAGTATTTAGACAGGAATCCCAGTTTCATTGATTTCACGGGGTCTGCAGAGAGCCGTAGGCGTGTGCTGGAGCAGCTTCTGATGCAGAGAGCCTGCGTGCGTGGGAGGTGTGCGGGGCGGCAGATGAGAGGGGCGTGTTCCCCGGGCGGGCTGCGCTGGAACCCTGGCTCTCCTGCTCACTGGCTTTGAGGCCTGGGCAAGTTACTTGACCTCCCCAGCTTCATTTCCTCCCCAGTAAAATGGGAGGCATAGTTTTACCTTTAGGACTGAGAATGGAATGACTTAGTATATGTAGTGATGTGTTTAAACAGTGCTGACCAATGGGAAATATTATATAATCATTAGCTACTGTTATGCATCAGTAATAGTAGTAATAATAACCAACAGGATGCTCCCTGAGTCTCTGTTGAGCGCCCTTGATGTGCCAGAGCCCTTAGGTACCTGGGCAGTGCCATCCATACCAACCACCTTCATGACGTCTGCGACAGTCAGGGGCAGGACAGTCCTCTGTGAAATAAATGACCCAGCACCCATTTAGCTGGGCTGCGGCCTGGCTTTGCCTTTTGGACATGTCCTCATTTGGGCTGTGCCAGCAGGTGAGAGGGCAGTCACGATGTGCCCAGAGGTGAGGTGCCTGGGCTCAGTGGAGTTAAGTGACC